AAAAAAAAATGATGTTTTGCTCGTTACTTATAAACTATTGCAGGTATATGTACAAACTTTCGACACGTTCTATAGGCGATGCTACAGTACTCGTACAAAAATATTATGTTAAGTACGGTAATTTTAAAAATCTCATAAAAAATTCTCCGAGCAAAACAATATAACTTGCACATCGTCAGAAAGGCTATTAATAGAGGATTCAATCCGTGCTAGTTTAATTTTTTCACAGGACATGGTTTACTCACAGTAGTTATGCAAACTTTCGCTTTATCAACCTCATACTGTAAAAATGTTGTTATTTCAAAAATTAGTTAATTTACATAGTCATGTTTTGTTTATAATATTTTGTAAAAAAATTCTCGAAAAGTTCTATTTTAACTACATTTTAACTTAAATCCCTGCGAGATTTCGTTTAACAGAGTTCTGTTAATGGCTTAATAGAACTCTGTGAAAAATTTTTTGCAGAGCTCTGGAAAGCCGTTAACAGAATCCTTTTAAACGAAGTCTTGGAGGGATTTAACTCAAATTACAAGTAAAATAGAACTTTTCGAGGATTTTTTTGCAAATTATTATAAACAAAACATGACTTTATGTAAATTAATTAATATTCGAAACCAAAAGTTTTGTACACTATGCCATAAATGAGGTTGATAAAGCGAAAGTTTGCGGAGCTACTGTGGCCAAACTATGTCCCTTGAAAAAATGAAACTAGCACAGAATGAATCCTCCATTAATAGCCTTTCCAACGGTGTGCAGGTTATATTAAGTTTTGCACGAAGAATTTTTTAATGGGGCTTTGAAAATTTCTATACCTAACATGGTATAGACTAACATATAAGCAAACTTTGAAAGGCCACTGTGGTCAAACCATGTGTCTTGAAAAAGTGAAACTAGCACAGAGTGAATCCTTTATTAATAGCCTTTCCAACGGTGTGCAAGTTATATTAAGTTTTGCCCGGAAAATTTCTTTATTGGACTTTGAAAATTTCTATACTTAAAATAGTATAGGCTAACATTTAAGTAAACTTTGAGAGGCCACTGTGCTCAAACCATGCCTATGTATCTATAAGCACTGGTTACTTTTTTCTTAAATAATAACGACAAAAATTATTACTGATAATCCTAGACCCTCTTTTTCCTCTACAAAAGAAAGCTCGTTTACAATGACTCACTACGCTTAAGGTAATTTTAAAAGATCACTTTAAAAGATCACTTTAAAAACCAACAAGAACACGCTGTACTCATTGAACTTAATAAAAAAAATATGGATAATATTATATTAACAAAAGGGTTATTTATATTTCTTGTCTCTCAACTAAAAACGACAGTAAGAATATTGGAACGCTTAATTCACTAGTGCTAAAGCAGAAAAACTTAGCAATTGCGAATGGCTTACAAGTAACTCAATAAATTCTTGACTTCATAGATATGCTCTTGATGGCCCCATAATAGTAAAATTCTCTACTGCTTACGATCGTAACTTTCTACTGCATAAATTAAGGAATTTAAGCGTAATCATAAATTAAGGAATTTAAGCGTAACCATAAACTAAGAAATTTAAGCATAACCATAAATTAGCAAAGGAACCTAATTGTAAAGGAATGTATAGCGAAAAGTTGCCATACTGACCAAAATCCAAAGCGAATAAACAAAAAGAATCAAATGAAGTAAAGCGGGATATCATTATAAACACTTGTAAGTATAGCCACACATAACTGTATTACATGTTGCACGAATGATAGCATAGTGGCAAAGTCCTGTTAAAAATGCCTAGAGAAACGTCGCATAATGAAAGTTTTTTAAAAGTTTTAGAGAATTATTTTATGCAAAAATAATTGGTTTCTTGAAAATTATCGTATTTGTCTCCCCATTCACGTTGCATTGGGTTGCAGCTCAAATTTAGGCGCAAGAATTGGTCAAAAAGGCTACATGTTTTAGGCAGGATTGCTAATTTATAGTGGTACCGAGAATTAAACTTAAAAAATATATACATTCTCTCTCTAAACACCAAAGAATTCTTGTTTATTTTCAACAAACTTTCAAAGTAGTAACTCAAAAAGCATTTGATTTTAAAGACGTATAATCAAAAAACCATAATAAAAACACAATATATATAAACAAGTATGTTACACATTGTGTTCTCCAGACCGTCCTTTGATACACTCATTTTGAACATAGGGTGTAAATTATTTCACACCAAACATTACTCTTTGCGCTATTAGGCAGTCAAAAAACTTTGGTGAGGCACTAAGTTTAGGAATACTCTTGTAATTATCGATCGAATCCCTATTACGAACTTTGTGCACGAAGTTTCCATACTTTTTGTAATCAGAGATAAGTTGAAAACCCTAGTACCTAAAACAACGGAGTTTCTGAATACGAGGAGTTTAATGTTATTAAGCCATTTCGTACTTCAGCTTCGGAAATGACAGGATAGTTGAAAAGAGCAAAGTCGTTCCGCACAAAAGTACGCTGGAAAGTTTCTTCTGAACAGGCCTATTTAACGAAAAGGTTTCATAAGGAGCCAGGTATTTTCAATTTCAAAGAATTTGATTAATGTATTAGAAGCTTAATATCCATCTATCCAATCCCCTTAAAGTTATCTTCAATCTATTTTAGTAATTTATGGATATTAAATTCCAACTCACGGTAAGAAGGACAAGATCAATAGAGACCCTAAGTTTTAAAGTTGATATAGTCAGATGGCTTTCCTCCAAACTCAGCACACAAAATCAGTACGCCGATGAAACGTTCCTGGCACCTTAGCGGCACTTAAAATTTGCATAGCAGCTATTCATTCGCATATTTTAATTTTTTATTTTATTTATTTTATTTTTTATTTTATTTATTTTAATTATTCCACTTATACTAGAAACTCAACTAAACAAATAACAGTCGAGTTCAATTGGCTCTTAATGCAAAACTTATATTAATTAACAATAAAATTGAGTATAAGCATAATAAAACAAATAAGAAGAAAAAAAAAAAAGAAAAAGAAAAAAGAAAAAAAGCATGTACACTATCAGCATAGGAGCACACTTACAACCGGTACAGGACCAAATTGCAAATGAACCCCTAAGCCATCGCAAACATGCATAATCCTGGCAACCGATAATAAATTGACAATAATTCACTTTCGAAACGTAACGACTTTTTAAGGATAAAAGCTAGTTTAAATACGACATAGGTAAATCGCGCGTATTAAGCAATGTTGCTTTAATAGACTTTAAAGAGTCCGATAACGAGAATAAGTGGTAGACGTCATTTAGGTTCTTGTAAACGACTCTGAGCGGATTGAACAGCTCATAATTAAATTTACACTGAGTAAGCTTAACCAAGATAAAGTGCCTAGAGAAGCGGTTAGGGACATTAAAGCTTATTTCACCAAGTAATGAAGGCAAGTCAATAGCACCATTTATTACTTTAATTAGAAAGGAAACGCCAAGA